GTGACACTGAATTTAAATAAATGTGTGTTTCAGGATAGTCAGTTTTTATTGCAGTGCAGAATAAAATACCCTGCATGTCAGATATCTTGTTTCGTCCAACTGAAAGTAAAAAAATGCAAAGATAGTCATCAATTTTAAAAGCTGGAATCAGAATATTTGTTACTATGGCAGTCCTGAAGCCGTTTATTAACCTTGTTGCTCTTTCTCCTTCCTTCTGCAGTCGTTCTGGATGAACTCATTGTTATTATTCTGTCTCTTCTCTCTCCATCAGACAGCGGGTTGTGGCTGCCCCGTCAGGCTGCGGTCAGGGCCATGTCGTCTCCAGCTGGTCCCAGTCCTCCTTACACCACCCTGGCCATCAGTCACCCAGCAGAGTTCGTCACACACGTAGAGCTTCACCGTCCTAAGAAACTCAACGCCATGAACAAAGCTTTCTGGAGGCAGGTATCTGTTTACATCTATATGCAATCATTTTCATTAGCCACCAAGAAGTTGCTGTAAATAGCTGGATGTTGACACTGATCTCCAGAATCTTTTACATTTGGCTTTAGAAAGTTGATATTGTTGTTTAGAAAATCACTGCAAGAATGTGATTATTAAAATATACTTTTTTTTAATACAGTGGTGATTAATAACATGATTCAACTATGAGATAACCTCTCGTTCTTATCTAAGTTATTCTCACAATATCTCGTAGATATACTGTATTGTGTTCCTTATAGGATACCAAAATATGTAATTAACAAGCCTCATAGGGGCACAGAAACCCATGTATTGGTACAAAAGATGAAGTAGAGTGAATCAAATCAACTTCACGCTCAGAAATAAACATTATCTATACTAAATTATAGGCAACATGCATTCTTGACTCATGAACAGTGACTGTAATACTTCATACACACAAACTTTATTAAACTTACTACACATAGATAATAACTACTGAACGTACAAATTAGTGAATAAATGCAAGTGTAAATAAATGTAATAAATACAACAGTGAACAGTTAATAAATACAACAGTGAACAGTTAATAAATACATGTTTCTAACTTTTGTCATGTTAGAAACGCAGGCGTAGAGTCAGTCTGATTA